ACGGGTCTATGATCAAGCGGAGTAATATTTTTTATTTGCACTAGTCAACCCTCATCATTAAAGTCATGAAAACACGTTATACACGTGTTTTATATTCTAAAAGTGCATTTTTTTGTGTGGTTTATACAGTGTTTTACAGTGGTTTAAACAGTTTTTTTAGAGTTTTAGGTTCTGAGTTCTAAATATAAGTGAGGTCAACGGTAAAAATTCCAGACAGTTTATGTACTTTTAAGAGTAATATTTCTATTTTACTACTCCAAATTTTTATAAAATTTTATTTTAAAAGCCAAATTTTCAATCATATTTACCAGGAATTTGTTAATTCCAGAATTGAAATTCCCAATGTGCTGTCATTATGACACATTTCAAAGATCATGTGAGCATGTTTCAATAATGTTATCAGTGAGCAACTGGCATGGTTGTAATCGCACAATGTGTAGAATTGTTATATATATTATGCCTTTCATGGTTCCATATCCGTCACATTAAAAGTCTTGTCAGTTCCATTTCAGCAGCTGTGAGGTTGTGTCCAGGCCATCATCAGATTGTGACTTAAAAAAGCTTAACAAAAATCGATAGATAATGGGTTTTAGAATATACTAGCTGTTGTACCCGTGCTTTGCAACGGGAAGAGGACACAAAATAGAAACATTTTAATCTTTACATCTGTTGCATATAATAGTTACACATCCGCCAACGCTTTTAGAAACAAAATTCAACTTTTATAGCCTTAATAGAAAGGTTTAAGTTATATGACTTTTAAATCTGGTAAGTAGGGGTTACCACTATTTTGGTTTTGATTAATTTTAAATCTTGTGTAGGCTGATATGAGAAAAATTTACCAAATCTTCGAATAAAACATTGACATAGACCTACATGATTTACCTTCATCTTACATATCTTTTAATTTACTATTGCCATTTTCAATTTCAATTTCGAAGCTGCAAAAATACTAATTATTAAATTTAAATGAACATTTTTTAAAACTTCACTCTTCTTTATATTAAATCACAAATCCTTCCATCTTCAGTTTCTTCACTCACAATAAATCATTAGCAAAACTAAGTCAGCTGTTATAAACTTTAGAAATATTGCTGTGCCTTATCAATACTGTTTTTTTGTAAATATTAAAGAGACTATATCTATAGCTACTATAAAAAATTTAAACAAATAATTTAGCATTAAAGACAGCAGACAAAACTAATATGATTATCAAAGCATCAAGGACTAGAAAATGTAATAGCAAATACAGTATATGTTTCATTGCATCTCCTGATTCTACTCTACACAAATATCAACAAACAACTTTATATACAAACTCGTTCTTTTAATCAGATCCATCGTCCATTGCCTTTACATTTTCACAATTACCATTAAGTAAACATAGTATCAGATATATCATTGATTTTAGAAACAAAAGAACACTGTGTACTGTTTAGTTTTATGATATTTTCCTTGGTTTAATTTAATCAGTGGTTTGGCAAAACACAAATAATAAATGTATCAAATGAAGTAAATGTGAACTGAAAGCTATGTTAAGATAAAATAAGATTATTTTGTATTAGCATTTGATAATTAAATATAGTTACATATATACAAAAGATAAAAAAAAATCAACGTACAATTTAGTTATTGATGATATTCTTTAGTTTAGTTTAAGCATAGGTTTAGCAAAACACAATAACTTAATTTACCTAAATATACATACAGGGTGAGTTTTAAATGAGTTTCCCCCCTAATTTTTTCTACATTTCTTAAGATATCAACTCCGGACCACGTCAGATCATTTTAGAGTAGTAAGCACTTCATTTTGACTGGGTATAAACTTTTGGCCGCCATCTTGGATCCGCCATATTGGACAAAAGGTTTTTTTCAAATGTAAAGGTAGGGTTGTGACCCATCATTTTAAACTAGATTTTTATGCTGAATACGATGCTGCAACTCGTTTGTAAAAATCTTGATCCATTCTAAAGTTATGAGAACTTTTTATAACATTATTTTTAGCCCATTTTAACATTGTGCATTTAAAAACTAAAAACATAATCGCAAAATAGTGCTAGATAAAGGTTTATGTATATTATGTAGTATACTTATCTTTATCTAGGACTATTTTGTGATTATGTTCTTAGTTTCTAAATGCACAATGTTAAAATGGGCTAAAAATAATGTTATAAACAGTACTCATAACTTTAGAATGGATCAAGATTTTTAAAAACGGGTTGCAACATCGTATTCAGCATAAAAATCTAGTTTTAAACGATGGGTCACAACCCTACCTTTACATTTGAAAAAAAAAACCTTTTTATCCAATATGGCGGATCCAAGATGGCGGCCAAAAATGTATACCCAGTCAAAATGAAGAACTTACTACTCTACAATGATCTGACGTCGTCTGGATTTGATATCTTAAGAAATGTAGAAAAAAGTAGGGGGGGGGGAACTCATTTAGAACTCACCCTGTATAGCCTAAAAAACAATGTGATGTGCAAGTTATGTTAAGTTAATCTAACACATGTTAAGCGATTACAATTTATTTAAAGTAACCTCCAAATTCATACAAACCATCTATACATTGTAATTTTCATACTGTTTCCATGAAAACATATCAATAACATTATTTTCAGAACTTAGACGCTTTAAGTGGGGCCTTGAGTTGATACAGCAACGGTTATAGAATTTGTTTTCTATGATCATTGACATACTTTTAGAATAAATAATCCATGATAAAAAGTTAGATTAAAATAAACATACCTCATAGTTATGGAAAATATTATATTTAATTTCTTTGTATCAGCTGTCTAAAATTGTGAAATATACAGTTTAGCAGTTCTTCTTGTTTACATTTTAATGTCAAAGCAAATGTAAACAAACATTGTTAGTGTTCTCATCACAGCCATGGAGACCAATCAATATTTACTTTTAAAATGTTCACCTCAGAATTTTTTAAGCCAAAGGGGCAAAGCCTACGGTCAGTATCGAAATGTGAATAGTCCTGTAATGGTCCTTGGTATGGTAGCTATATTTTTGTATAATTTAAGCCCAGTTGGTTCAGTAGTTTTTACACCTATTAGTAATACACATACAGACAGACACCATTAGATTTTTATACAGGGTGTCTCACGAGAGGTGTCTCAAATTGATTACGGAAAAACGGCTTAACGTACAAGGATGAAATAAAATTATTTCCGGCTAGATCGACCCCAAGGAAAAGCGTAAAGATATTTTAAACTTTTTCCAAATACAGGGTGTGCCAAAAACTGAGGTTCACTAGTTCGAATCTCAGAATTTTCAAATGTAAACATATGTCATGTTATACATCATTTTAAAGGTATTTGATAGACAAACATTTTGGCGAAAACAGAAATAAGTTATCTTTTTCCGTTTCAAAATGGCGGCAGTTTTTTTTGGGAAAATCTATATTTTTTTAATACTCTGTGTTCCCTTTACCAATGCATTTATCCCTTCTCCGATTGAATTTTCTTACTCGTTATGAAATTAGCTTTACTTTGATATGCTACAAGTAACGGTTTTTTGAAATTATAAAAATTTAAAAAATAAATTATTTTTGAAAATTTGGAAATGCTCATTTTTCAAAAATTTTAAATAGCAACGTATGTCAAATGGCAGATCATTTTATAGGTTTTTTAATTCCTAACAACTGTAATTTACACTTACTTCGTATCTCGTTTAGTTTTTGCGTAAATAACAAAAAACCTGATTTTCCTATATCAAATGCATGTAATTTGGGTTTGACGTGGTTTAACACTTCATCAAATTGGGTCTTTAGTGTTAAACCCAAATAACATGCATTTGATATAGGAAAATCAGGTTTTTTGTTATTTACGCAAAAACTAGACGAGATACGAAGTAAGTGTAAATTACAAAGTTGTTAGGAATTAAAAAACCTATAAAATGATGTGCCACTTGACATATGTTGCTATTAGATTTTTTTTTAAATGAGCATTTGCAAATTTTCAAAAATAATTTTTTTTTAATTTTTATAATTTCAAAAAACCATTACTTGTAGCATATCAAAGTAAAGCTAATTTCATAACGAGTAAGAAAATTCAACCGGAGAAGGGATAAATGCATTGGTAAAGGGAACACAGAGTATTAAAAATATAGATTTTTTCCAAAAAAACTGCCGCCATTTTGAAACGGAAAAAGATAACTTATTTCTGTTTTCGCCAAAATGTTTGTCTATCAAATACCTTTGAAATGATGTATAACATGACATATGTTTACTTTTGAAAATTCTGAGATTCGAACTAGTGACCCTCAGTTTTTGGCACACCCTGTATTGGGAAAAAGTTAAAAATATTTTTAGGTTATTCCTTGGGGTCGATTTAGCGGAAAATAATTTTATTTCGTCCTTGTACGTTAATCCGTTTTTCCGTAATCAATTTGAGACACCTCTCGTGAGACACCCTGTATAATAGTATAGATGGGTGGACTTCCGTATCTGTTGGCAAAAACCACCGAATGAAAATATCGATCGATATATCAATTATTTGATATATCGTTTGGTTAAGGTAAGGTTAACCTAACCTCTCTAACCAATCGATATATCGAATGAAACAATCGAATAATCGATATTTTCATTCGGTTGTTTGTGCCAACAGATACGGAAGTCTACCCGAATATACAGGATGATCAACTCAAGGAGGCCACCATTGGGATATCGGAAACGGTAAGAATTAGAGAAAACTTTAAATAGGGGACTGTGGTGAGTGCTTCAATACTGTTGAAAACCAGCTGGACAATTATTTGTTTTTTTATAAAAGTTTAACTTTGGTTTTGTAAAAATGAGTTGCTATGGTTACCTAACAGTTCATTCCTGGTTTTTATAATTCATACACTTATGTTTTTGTCATGCTCATTAAATTCTATTTTCTATCAGTTTCTTGAATAATTTTATCAAAAATAGTTAAAGAAGAACCTACTTCTTCAGTGGTGACCCCGACGTGATCATTTTTTTACCAAAATTTAGCAAAATTGCAATGTCTACTACTCAAGAAGGTAACTCCCTAGAACGAATTACTGTGAAGATTCCACAATTTTGGCCAGCAGATCCTGAGCTGTGGTTTGCGCAGGTCGAGACCCAATTCTCCTTGGCTCGGATCACATCTGATGAAACAAAATTCTTTTATGTTTGTGGAAATCTTGATGCTAAATACGCTGCTGAAGTGAGAGACATCCTCACAAGACCACCAACCGAGGGAAAATACGAAAAACTGAAAACAGAATTGATACAACGCCTAAGCTCTTCACAGGAACAGAAGACCAGACGTCTCCTGGAACATGAAGAAATGGGAGATCGAAAGCCCTCGCAGTTCCTCAGACATCTTCGTGCTTTGGCTGGTACCGTTGTACCTGACACTGTGCTGAAAACTCTGTGGTTGAGTCGTCTGCCTTCATCAACTCAAGCCATTTTAGCAACATAAAAGTCGTCTGAGCTTGATGCACTAGCCGAGTTGGCTGACGCCGTGCTTGAAATTAGCCCGCGTCATCAAGTTACAGAAGCAGCTGTCCCTACTAACAGTCCCAACTCTATGGAAGTAATGATGGAGCGACTGACGATCCTGATGACATCTAAAATGGGCGAAATCGTAAGCACTCTTCAGCACGACATTTCAACTATCAAAGAAGATCTGCGGAGTAATCAAAGTCGTCGTCCAACATGGAGTTCAAGTCCGGTTCGGCGATCAAGATCACGCTCCAAGAGCACGACAAGAGACGATGTTTGCTGGTACCACAAGCGATTCGGTAATGCAGCTACTAAGTGCACCAGGCCTTGCAGTTTCCAAGCCAACAACTCGGGAAACGATCTCGGGAGTCTCTAATGGCGGCCAGCGACTCCTCCGATCTACAGACATCTCGCCGCCTCTTCGTCACAGACAAGGTAACAAAACAACAGTTCCTCATTGACACTGGAGCAGATGTTTGCGTCTATCCACGAAAAATGCTTTCAGGTAAAATACTAAAATCTGACTATACACTATACGCAGCAAACAACACCGAAATTGCCACTTACGGGTTGCATACCTTATCTTTGGACCTAGGCCTACGCCGAGCATTTGTGTGGCGTTTTATCATAGCTGATGTTGCCAAACCGATCATTGGAGTTGACTTTCTACATCATTATGATTTATTAGTGGATGTTCGACGTCAGTGTTTGATTGATCAGGTAACCTCTCTCGTTTCCACTGGTCGCGCAACATGCTCCAATTTGGTAAGTGGTATTAAAGCAATAAATGCAAACCAACCAAATGTCTACATGCAGCTCCTCCAATCATATGCGTCCCTTATTCGACCGGCAGGTAAACCTTCTGTCCCTGTCAAACACCAAACAGAACACCATATCCAGACAACCCCAGGACCACCAGTCTTTAGCAAACCCCGTCGTCTAGCCCCGGACAAGTTAAAGTTAGCCAAAAAAGAATTTGAGGTTATGGTCCAGTTAGGTATAGCTAGACCTTCTTCTAGCAGCTGGTCATCCCCTCTTCATATGGTTCCCAAAAAAGGAGACGAATGGAGACCATGTGGAGACTACAGAGCCCTAAATGCCAGAACCATTCCTGATCGCTACCCTATTCCTCACATTCAGGACTTTTCTCTAAATTTGCATGGTAAAAAAGTTTTCTCTACTATAGATCTTGTTCGTGCTTACCATCAGATCCCTGTAGCTCCTGATGACGTTCATAAGACTGCTATAACAACACCTTTTGGTCTTTTCGAATTTCCTTTCATGTCTTTTGGACTTTGCAATGCTGCCCAAACCTTTCAACGTTTCATTGATGGTGTACTCAGTGGCCTAGACTTCTGTTACGCTTACATTGATGACATTCTCGTAGCTTCAGAATCCGAAGAACAACACCTCATTCACTTACGACAATTGTTTGACCGCCTATCCTCTTTCGGAGTCTTTGTCAACCCAAGTAAGTGCAACCTAGGAGTTCCCATGGTTAGTTTTCTCGGATATCAAGTTTCCGGAGAAGGGATAAAACCCTTACCTGAAAAAGTGAAAGCTCTTGACTGTTACCCCAAACCAAAGACTGCAAAGGAATTAAGAAGATTCACTGGTATGCTAAACTTTTATCGTAGATTCCTACCCCATTCAGCGTCCCAGCAGAGCACACTAAATGACCTTCTGAAAGCCAATCTAAAAGGTAATATGCCTATTAATTGGACTACAGAAAGTGAACAAGCTTTTGAAACTTGTAAAAAAAGCCTCAGTGAAGCCGTTATGTTGTCTCACCCTGCACCGAATGCCTCACTTGCAATCTTCTGCGATTCATCAGACTATGCTGTAGGAAGTGTATTGCAACAAAAGGTAGGACAAAACTGGCAACCACTATCTTTCTTTTCCAAAAAGTTAAGTCTAACTCAACAGAAATACAGTACTTATGACAGAGAACTAACAGCAATTTATCTTGCCATTAAGTATTTCAAACATATGCTAGAAGGAAGACAATTCATAATTTTTACAGATCACAAGCCTCTGACCTTTGCTTTCCGTCAAAAACCTGATAAGTGTTCTCCAAGACAGTTCCGTCACTTGGAATATATTGGACAGTTCTCAACTGACATTCGCCACGTTTCTGGACAAGAAAACGCAGTTGCAGATACCTTCTCTAGGATAGAAGAAGCCACTGCCTCCTTAAACTTCCAGGCTTTGGCAGAGTCTCAAGCTCAGGATGAAGAACTACAACACTATTTAGAAACAGAATCCAACCTAAAGCTCAAGCAAGTGCTGCTACCAGGAACGGAAATCTCACTTTATTGTGATGTATCTACTTCAAACCCCCGTCCTTTTGTCACAAAACAATTTCGAAAAAATGTTTTTTACAGCTTGCACAACCTGTCTCATCCCGGGATAAAGGCATCCACAAAACTGGTTAGCCAACGTTTTGTTTAGCCTTCAATGAAATCGGACTGTCGTTCTATGGCTCGCTCCTGCCTCTCCTGCCAGAAGTCAAAGATAACACGTCACAGTTCAACCCCAGTTGGTACGTTTGTTCCACCATCTTCTAGATTCGAACACATCCATATTGATCTAGTTGGCCCATTACCTGTTTCGGAAGGTTACAGGTATTGTTTGACTTGTGTTGACAGATTTACACGTTGGCCTGAAGCAGTTCCACTTGAGAACATAGAAGCTGAAACTGTAGCTCGTGCATTATTCACCAACTGGATTTCAAGGTTTGGAACGCCACTGCGCATAACCACATATCAAGGTCGACAATTTGAATCCTCTCTTTTCCAGCAGCTAACACAGTTAACTGGATCAACACGTCTCCGAACGACTGCCTATCACCCTGCTGCCAATGGACTCGTTGAACGCCTTCATCGACAACTCAAGGCAGCCATAAGGTGTCACACAACAGATCGTTGGACCGAAGTATTGCCAGTGATACTGATGGGGATCAGAGCTGCGTGGCGCGAAGATATGCAAGCTTCCTCTGCAGAACTCGTTTACGGTCAACCTCTACGACTTCCTGGAGAGTTTATGACGCCCAGCCAAGATGGACATCAATTGGATCCACCAAACTTCGTAAAGAGCTTACGTCAGCACTTCAACAACCTGCGTCCAGTCAGTGGAACTAGACATGGTGCGAAGACGCCATTCGTTTTTCAGGACCTCGCTACATGCACACATGTCTTTGTGCGGACTGACATCCCCAGGGGAGCTCTCGAACCCCCATACTCTGGTCCTTACCCTATTATCAGCAGAACCACCAAGACTGCCGTTGTGGTGATTAAAGGCTGTAATGTCACGGTATCCATGGATCGACTCAAACCGGCATACTTTTGGTCCGAATACAAGAACGATGGATATGCACCGAATAGGACAGAAAGCAACAAATCCACACAAGCACAAAGCAAGACACAAAGCATGGATGATCCTAATTATACCAAGACAAGTTCATTAAAACCTGCGATTAAGACAAAATCTGGGAGACATGTACGCTTTCCTGTACGATTTCAAGTATCATGATTTACTTCAATTAAATCATTAGCAGGGGGGTACTGTGGTGAGTGCTTCAATACTGTTGAAAACCAGCTGGACAATTATTTGTTTTTTTATAAAAGTTTAACTTTGGTTTTGTAAAAATGAGTTGCTATGGTTACCTAACAGTTCATTCCTGGTTTTTATAATTCATACACTTATGTTTTTGTCATGCTCATTAAATTCTATTTTCTATCAGTTTCTTGAATAATTTTATCAAAAATAGTTAAAGAAGAACCTACTTCTTCAGGGACAATCCATTATTTTTTGTGGCAGTTAAAAATATGATTTTAGTTTTTCAAAATTCAGCCGCCATTTTCCAAAATGGTTTTCAACTTTGAAATTTCTTATGGTACACCCTGTATTTTATCATGTTTACGGATAGAACATGCAATTTAAAAACTTTTTTATTCAAGACATTTTTTCGATAAACCCACTCGTTTACGAGTTACAGCCTATGGAAAAATGACTTCCGGTGTACATTTTACATCATGTAGCTCCAAAAAAAAGGTTTATATCGAAAATGCGAAGAGAAAATAAGTCAAATAAGTCTTAAAATTGCATCCACATTCCAAAAAGTCCATATAATTCGTTAAAAATATTAATTCTATTATTTAAAACTGGCGGCCATTTTCCAAAATGGCGGCAAACTTGAAAAGTGGAAAACTGTGTATTTTATGGTCATAATGGAATGTGGATGCAATTTTAAGACTTATTTGACTTATTTACTCTTCGCATTTTCGCTATAAACCTACTTTTTTTGGAGCTACATGATGTAAAATGTACACCGGAAGTCATTTTTCCATAGGCTGTATGGAACTCCCAAACTCCTAAACGAGTGGGTTTATCGAAAAAATGTCTTGAATAAAAAAGTTTTTAAATTGCATGTTCTATCCGAAAACATGATAAAATACAGGGTGTTCTATGAGAAATTTCAAAGTTGGCCGCCATTTTGGAAAATGGTGGCTGAATTTTGAAAAACTAAAATCATATTTTTAACTGCCACAAAAAATAAAGGAATGTCCCCCATTTAAAGTTTTCTCCAATTCTTACCGTTTCCGATATCCCAATGGGTGCCTCCTTGGGTTGATCACCCTGTATATGAATGTAAATACATACCGAGGTGTGATGAAAGTGTTATCGATAAAAATATGCGATGTACGAAGCATACATGTTACAGTATATCGTACGGATGGTAAAGTTCGTGGTAATTTTAGATGATTGGATTAGGCCTCTATTATTTTTAATTCATGACCAAATGCACCGCGATATTGGGCCAGTGATCCGGCGAAACGAGGAAACCGCCTCTTTTTACTGTTATATTTTGTCGATGGTAATCGTGTACTGGCGAAAATAATAAAGATATTGTATTGGAGACATACAACTTTTTGTACTCCAGTAACCAAAAACCCAACAGCAACAAACGTGGTATAA